GGTTGAAACTAGCCTCTAACCTCAACTTGGGTTTTTAACATAACTTTTGGGCACCCTGTGGAAACATCCACTGTCAATGGATGACATGCGCGAGTAAACTTGAAAACATTAGGCTAGTGTTTTCAAGTTTATGACTCCAAGTTGGCGCGACATAAATCAGATCGTAAACGTAAACAGATCTAGAATATTCCAAAGTGTGTCAAAAGCACCACAAAATGATTTACCTCGAAGGTTATACTTTCAAAGTCCGTTAGAGGTGAGACTGTTACTGCGCATGTCATTCATTGACAGTGTCCCTTTAACGTGGATGAGTGATTTAACGTGCTTGAGTGATTCATTGATGTACTCCATTGATTGATGGATTGATCGGATGTCAAATATTTGATCTAATCCCATTGTYCTGCTCTGAACCGATATATTAAAGAAAGCTATTTATGCTGGGATCTTRGACTCAAACTTTTTATGCTCTTTTATTGTGAGTCGGACGAATAGTGGCTTTCYATAAAYGTGTTTCRTTTTAATACATTTTTCAAAACAAATACTTTTAAAAACGTTAAGTGGAAGCATTGAGTTGACCGAGCGTGACATATGTTAAAAAACAAATAAACCTACCGGTTCGAGAAAATCTCTCCAATTTTTTCTCCAATTCTCCAATGGAAACTTGAATAATAGGAATAATTTCCTTGAGTTTTGCTGCACTGAACGTCGGTGTCAAAATTGTTCGAATTCTCCTCCAAATCTCGTCCTGTGCGAACCCTACAGCGTATACCAAGGGGGGTCCGACTTTCACAAACTCTGGTCTGTTGCGAAACTTGTCGAACTCTTTCACCATGATCTCCTTGATCATTTCTGGATCRGAGACGACGAGAGCTGGTCTTCGCCCAACGTAGAACTTATGGACTCGACCAAAGCGTTTGAAGTACTTCCACAACGTCTTGTGCATGCCGCCATCTTGGATAATGTCAGGAATATTTCCAAAATACGGCCATGGTTTCGGTCCTGTAACGGTTATATTTGACATCAAGGCATAATCTTTAACACCGTACCAGTACACTAAACCCAGGACGACAAATACCGCAAGACCTGTAAAAACTAGATCCATTTCGATATGGTCTTTGTGTTCAGTTTGTTTGTTCGAATCGGTTTGACCACAGGAAACCCATAACTCTGGGACATCACTTATGCTTCAGAGGTCATGAATGAGTATGGAATCAATAAACCCCACTTTTTTCTATCAT